TGGCGAGGAATTTATTGCAAACAAATACTACAACTGCAGATAACTTGGGCAATACTAAACTTGAATTGTACGTTATCCAAAAAAAAAAAAAAAATGTAATTCTGCATCATTGCCCAAAGTTAAAACTTCGTTTATAGTTCTGATTTCCATATCCGATGTTTTATTATTGTATTCCCTTTTCTTTCAAGGAAAAGTTTAATCCATTCCTGCATAAGCCTTGGGATGGAAGGGGGGGGACTAGGGGGTTTAGCACCCCACCCCATTTTTGCAAAGACAGACATAATATAGGCATTGAAAATTGGGTTTACTTTTTTCTGTTTGTTTAGTCCCTCCCCCCCCCCCCCCCCCCCCCATTTCAATTTGCTTCCGACGCTTGTGCCCTGTATTCATGCTAGATCATTGTGTTTGTTTGAGAGAGAGAGAGAGAGAGAGAGAGAGAGAGAGAGAGAGAGAGAGAGAGAGAGAGAAGAAAAGATTTGGTTACAAAATAAATTAACATTTTTAAAGAATATATAATTCTAAATGTTACATTCAATATATTCACAAAATATATGAACATTTCTAAAGAATATATAATTCTAAATGTTACATTCAATATATTCGGAGTTTCTGCTGATAAATATTTTCTTGTGGGTAATACAATGTATTTTCCCAGATAATAACTGATCCCCGAACGGTCATGAAAAGATCGTTACTATTTTTAGAAAACTGGACAGGCCGGTTTTTCATGTCGCAGGGCGTATATGGGATGTGTTGATGTAGGCGCTGAAAGATTTTTCAATACTTTTACTTCTTATAACTCTTGTTTTTACTTATCGTATGATCCATGATCAAGCTTGTACTGTCTGGCGTCTGGTAAGCATTGTAATACGGTGTTTTATAAAAGTATTTTTCATAAGCTAAAATTCATGTGCTTGTAAAATCGTAACATTTACTTTTTTTATGAATTTATTATATTTTTTTACAATTATTTTTAAAGCATTCAAAAAAATTGTATTGTATTAGTTTCTGAAACTTAGCGGAAGACAGTACAAGTTTGACTTATATTTTAGGGGGTTTAGTGTACACACTAGGCCTTCTGGAAGCGTGTGCAATTGCCCGTGACCGTGATTGATCACATATATTTGGAATTGATATGGAGGACACCGCTTTGCTCGTTGCATGTAATAGGTTTATGACTTTGCACGATAGCTGATTTAGGTCTATGCAGTAATGCTCAATGACCCGACATAGTTCGACATTAAGGGATAAAAAATGTAGGAGTTGTTGTTGGGTTATTTTATTTTTTTTTGGGGGGGGGGGGGTGAAGGGAGCAAAATCCCATAGTTCCTTCAAATCCCTAAATCCCCTTATACAATTTTCATAGTACAATGCAGTTGCTCATTCATATTTATTATATTGTTATATTATTGTTACATGTATTGTTTTTTCCCTTTTAGATGGTGATTGGTGGTGCCCAATTGAGGGGGGGGGGTCTGTTATATTTCTTGTATGGTGATTGGTAGTGTCCTAGCTATTGGGGTTATATGAAGGATATGTAGATAACGAACAGTATTCAATACCAAAGTCCATATACAAAATAGGAGCTGAGCAAACACGGACCTCCGAAAACATTAAAGGTGGGATCAGGTGCAATGGAGGAGTGAGCATCCCCTTCCGACCTGTCACACCCACTGTGTGCTCATTATCATGATCGGGAAATAATGGAAAAATTAGTATGAAAAACGTCCGCCAGCATTTGACTTAATGATAAATTGTATTTGCTGACAAGGTCATAGTATCGACAATAAAACTTACGAAATGATGACTTTAAACCGGACTGCTTATATTCTTGTTTCATTAACTTAATTGTTTATCAATAATTTACCTCATTTTGGGAATTGTACATACGCAGAGCATGCTCTTGCGTACCGAATCAACTGAGATATATAAACTCAGTATAAGGGGGTGAAGGTATATTGCTGCATAGGTGTAAGGGAAGTTGATGATACAAAAGTTAAAGTCATCACGTTTATCATAGAGCTTGGTTGTAAGATTACCATAAACATCTTTTTCAAGTCATTTCTTTTGGATGTTGATTGGTGTTGTCCTATATATTTAGGGCTTTTTTTTGAGTGGTGATTGGTTGTGTCCTATTGGGGTCTCTCTTTTGGATGTTGATTGGTGTTGTCCTATATATTTAGGGCTTTTTTGAGTGGTAGTTGGTTGTGTCCTATTGTGGGTATCTCTTTTGGATGTTGATTGGTGTTGTCCAATTTTGGATGGTGATTGAAACTGGGAGTCTGTACTTATCTGGGATGGAGATAAGATGTGTTCTTCTGGTGATCTTTCTTATGGACGGTGATTGGTTGTGTCCTATCAATTTAGGGCCTTTCTTATGGACGGTGATTTGTGGGGTCCCATTGAGGGCCTTTGTAATGGACAGTGATTGTTGGTGTCCTATTGAGGGCCTTTCTTATGGACGGTGATTGATGGGGCCCTTCTGAGGGCCTTTGTTATGGACAGTGATTGTTGGTGTCCTTTTGAGGGCCTTTCTTATGGATGGTGATTGGTGGGGTCCTATTAGGGAGCTTTCTTATGGACCGTGATTGGTTGTGTCCTATCAATTAAGGGCCTTTCTTATGGACGGTGATTGGTGGGGTCCCATTGAGGGCCTTTCTTATGGACAGTGATTGTTGGTGTCCTATTGAGGGCCTTTCTTATGGACAGTGATAAGTGGGGTCCCATTTAGGGCCTTTCTTATGGACAGTGATTGGTAGTGTCCTATTGAGGGCCTTCCTTATGGACGGTGATTGGTGGGGTCATATTAGGGAGCTTTCTTTTGGATGGTGATTGTTTGTGTCCTATCGAGGGCCTAACTTATGGACGGTGATTGATAGTGTGCTATCGAGGGCCTTTCTTATGGACAGTGATTTGTTGTGTCCTATCGAGGGCCTTTCTTAAGGACAGTGATTGGTGGGGCCCTATCGAGGGCCTTTCGTATTGACGGTGATTGGTGGGGTCCTATTGAGGGCCTTTCTTATGGACAGTGATTGGTGGGGCCCTATTGAGGGCATTTCTTATGGACAGTGATTGATTGTGCCCCATCGAGGGCCTTTCTTATGGACGGTGATTGGTGGGGCCCTATTTGGAGAGCTTTCATTTGGATGGTAATTGGTATGTAGCAGTAATGATACACATCCAGAAAGCTCACATGGGCTTTATTTGAGGCTATATCTAAACGTACAACTTTGTCAGTAGCTGGATCTTGGAGAATGTTAACCAAAAATCCCTCATAAGGGGAGTATAATCAAGAAAAGAAAAATTAGAATAGGGTCATTAAAAATTTTTCCTCTTAAGAACCACTGGGCCAGAAAAGCCTGTATCCCTGAAAATTAATTTAGTGACTGCAAAAAATGGAAAAAGGAGTTCAGCAATTCAGGTGTTTGGGATCAAAATAAAATTTCTTAAAAATTCTACAAACACCTGTTTTGATGAACTTATTTTCCCATATATTTTGCATTTTCAACTTTTTTCTAAATTATGAATGAGCTGCTGCAAGAAAAAAATCCAAAACACATTTTTACTAGGAGTTTTAAATCCAATGGCATTCAGTGTCCTAAAGAAGAAAACATATTAAAAATAATGGACATATTCTCAAATTTCTATGTTTTAAATTTCAAGAGCCTATGATTATTACTTTTTCTTTAACAACAATTTTATCACGCCTTTCTTTAGGAGCTTCAGTTTATAACAACGTCAAAAACAGTAAACTGTAACGATGTCAACCTACTTATCAATTGCAAATCGGTTAAAAAATCAGTTATATAAAATTGTAATAATATTTTTATACCTATAATTTCTTAATTTTGTTTAATTTTCATAAGTAAGCGAAAAAAGTTGCTTTAAAACAGTAAATACGCTTCATTTTACTATGATGCGCAAAATATTGCACAAGGAAACCACAGTTGGCCTCCTTAAATCTATTTTATTCAAAGTCTTTACAAAATTAGTAGATCTTTGAATGCCATTAATTTGCTTGACGAACTGCTGTCTCGAAACCTCTTAAATATGAATCATAATGAATTGAACTTCTTTCAGTAGCATTGCAGTAATGACTAGTTATTGGCAATATTCTTATTGATAACGTGTAGTGGTAATGATCACACAAACTTTTGAAGAAATGTAGCGATAATGAATTGTATTTTTTCGCAAAGAAGCTGTTATGTTGATCTCTAAACTTTTTAATAGATTAGCTAAATGGCAGAAAGTATACAACATAGTTTAATTGGAATTTTTGGTTTATTAAAATTATGTTTTCATTCTATGCATATAATAATTATTGTGAATAAAGTTTCTTTCAAAGAAATATACATACATTACATGTACATGTATATATAGTATAGCGGGTTTTCTTGGCAAGTTTAAAATTTGGCGTTTTGCCTGCTCAAAGGTATGTCAATAATTTTGGCAGACACAAGATTTCAGCTCTTTGCAAATGAACACTAATTAAGAGAAGTACTGGCCATTTTTGTATTAGAATTTTAGCGGGCTACCATCAAGACGCTAAAATTAGCACCCTGATAAAATAACCAGCTATAGGGTACTGCATGAAAAAAGAATGAAGACTATATTTTTTTTAATATTACTAAAACAGTTAACATAAACCAGAAATGGCTGATGGGTCTGTAGCTCTACTGGTCTACATATTAAAAAAGAAAAGGCAGCAATAAACAGATGCACCTTAGTGTAGTCCACTTATGCTACATTATATTGATGTCAAACTTAACTGTAGGAGGAGTAGTGTTTTGAAAGTATTTCTAAGAAATTTCTATTTTTAGTAACCATGGTAACACCATTCATTGAAAACAAAAACCAATGCACTAAATAGTGTACCTTATATCAAGTCTTCAGTTCTTGTGTGCCATTCAAGTTATAGTGAAATTAGACAATAATAACTACTTGTATGCAAAATTTTATTGAAATCAGACCAAATCTATAGAAGGAGTAGCATTTAAAGGAATTTCACAGAAACTTCTATTTTTAGTAGCTATGGCAACACCATTCATTGATATAAAAAAAACCCAATGTATTAAATTATATATCTTAGAGTAATCTACTTGCATGTAAAGTTATTTTAAAATAAGACCCAAATTGTTGGAGTAGCGTTTTAATGGAATTTTACAGAAATTTCTATTTTTAGTAACTATGGCAACATCGTTCATCAAAAAAAAAATGCACTAAATTACGTACCTTTGTACAGTCCACTTCTATGTCAAGTTATATATATTGAAATCAAACCAAAACTGGGAGTACACGTAGTAGCATTTTTAAAATTGTTTACAGACAACTAGACAGATGGACGGAAGACAGTCACCTTACTATCACATAAACGTACACTTCTGGTCTCTGACCAGTAGAGCTAAAACTACATGTTTGTGAAACACGAATGACCCTATCCCAACCCCAGACAAGGGGTAATCAAAAAATCTCAGTTTAACTTTCAGCTCAGATGAGTTGAAAACTAAATTCTGACTTGATAATTCTAAATGGTGAATGCGAGATGCATCCTTGCTCCATCTTAGAGCAACTGATCAATGTTTTCAGTTTTCCACTTCTATGAAGCTTCCTCTTTAGCCCTTTCCATTCTCCACCTCTTAAGAACTTCCTTTTCTTTTGATCTTAAATCTTTCCTGCGTTTTGCTGCCCATTCCTACAGAATTTCCTCTTCGGGATTTCCTACTAAGACGGCTATTTCTGTTTTTTCATTTCAATATCTGCAGCTACTTCATACTTTTACCATGAAGGGTAATAAACCTGAAAAGGGGGGGGGAGGAATAAGTAATCAATCATAATTTGAGATCATCATTTTCTTGAAATGACAAGATCAAAATCTTGTTCACAAGTCAAAATATTAAAGGGTGCTAGGTGGGTTTTTTGTTTTATGTGAAAAATCTACATTAGAGGAACTGCCTGCAATGTACATACACAGCCTCTGGAGAGTCTGAATGCCACACCAACATTTTATTTCATAGATCTTTAAGACATCCCTATTAAATTATGGTTTCGGCATTGAAAGGCCGATATCAGCTCACTTAGTCCTGACCTCTGTTTCAGGAAGTTGGAATTACCAAGATTAAAGTTGGAATTACCAAAATAAAGTTTGAATTTCCAACTTTAAAAAAATATTGCATGGCACTCATACGCTTCCATACAATTGGGGGGGGGGGGGTCCATTCAATTTTTTGTATGGTGATTGGTAGTGTCCTGTTGAGGTTATGAAGGATATGGAGATAACGAACAGTATTCAATACCAAAGTTCATAAAACAATACAAAATAGGAGCTGAACAAACACTGACCTTTGAAAACATTAGATCAGATGCCATGGAGGAGTGAGCATCCCCTGCGGACCGGTCACACCCACCGTGTGCTCATTATCATGATCGGGAAATAACGGAAAAATCCGTCGTCAATTCAGTGTATAAATAATGGAGTACTAATTAGTATGAAAAATGTCGGTCAGCATGTCATTGTATCTACCATAAAACTTACGAAATTATGACTTTAAATGAGACTGCTTATATTCTTGTTTCATCAACTTAACTGTTTGTCAATAATTTACCTCTTTTTGGGAATTGTTCTTGCATACCGAATCAACTGAGATACTGTATACAGGGAAATATTCGCCCCTGTTTTATTTTCGCCCCTTTCGCCCTTACATCGTTTGGGCGAATTTAAAAAGGGGCGAATTAAAAATATACAATATATTTTCTTAAACAAAACTGTGACTAGGCGAATTTAAAACGGGGCAAAATTGGTTGCAAGTGTGAAAGGGCGAAAATAAAACGGGGCGAAAATAACCCTGTATACAGTATATAAACTCAGTATGAAGGTGATGAAGGCATATTGCTGCATAAGTAGGTGAAGTTGACAATACAAAAGTTAAAGTCATCACGTTTATCATACAGCTTGGTTGTTAGATTACCATAAACATCTTTTTCAAGTCATTTCTTTTGGATGTAGATTTGTGTTGTCATATTTGGGGCCTATTTTGAGTGGTAAAAATTGGTTGTGTCCTACTGGGGGGTCTCTCTTTTGGGTGTTGATTGGTGTTGTCCTATTTTGGATGGTGATTGTAGGTGTTTTACTGGGAGTCTATACTGTAAATGTATTGTACTTGGCGTGTACGATATTTGGCAGAAATGGAATTTTCAACAAGTTCGCATAGATTTGAGTTAGTTCATTTTGAATGTGCGTTAAATGAACCTTTATACACAAAGCATTTAGCAATGTACTTGATTTAGCGGAGGCTGCTTTCCGCGAAAGGCACTAAAAAGAATACACAGCCAAAATTAATGCAATACTTTTACAGTATCTTGGATGGTGATTTAGGTGTGTTCTACTGTCTTTCTTTCGGACCGTCATTGGTTGTGTCCTATTGCGGTTATTTCTTTTGGATGTTGATTGGTTGTGTCCTATTGGGGGTCTTTCTTTGGATGGTAATTGGTTGTGTCCTATTGGGGTTATTTCTTTTGGATGGTAATTGGTTGTGTCCTATTGGGGTTATTTCTTTTGGATGGTCATTGGTTGTGTCCTATTGGGGTTATTTCTTTTGGATGTTGATTGGTGGGGTCCTATTGGGGTTATTTCCTTTGGATGGTCATTGGTTGTGTCCTATTGGGCGGCATGGGGGTCCTTTCTTTTGGATGTTGATTGGTGGGGTCCTATTGGGGTTATTTCCTTAGGATGGTCATTGGTTGTGTCCTATTTGGGGTCTTTCTTTTGGATGGTGATTGGTTTTGTCCTATTGGGTTTTTTTTTTTTGGATGGCAATTGGTTGTGTCCCATTGGGTTTTTTTTCGATGGTAATACGTTATATCGCGACTACCAATGAGTACCTCGCAGTTATCTAACTTACTATCGCTCTTTTGCGGGGGAGTCGAGAAAAGTCTAAATTTCTGGGGGCAAACGACATTGTTTATAGTAGTGACAATCGAATGATTCGAACAATTTAATGCCGAAATCACGATGTTTTGCCAGATATTGAACTCCAGATAGTATATTGTCAAATAAGGAAAGTTAAGAATGTTTTATCTGCTTAAAAATGTGACGATTTTCAATGAAAATTTAACGAGAAGAGTCCGCTTAATTAAAAATATCGTTAAAAATGTGACAATTTAGGATTTGCTCCTCTCAAAAATATCTTAGGCTGGTTAAGCGATCGTTTAGCGAGGTATTCCACCAGGATTTTTTACTTATCTGTCCTTATAAATGCTACAATGATCGACCTTGCATGGTATTGAATAGCACATTGCCCCCACCCAACAGACGATTCCTACCTCCTTCGCGAAAGAGTTCCGCTAAGTTAAGTAATCGCGATATCAAGTATTGGTTGTGTCCTATTGGAGTTATTTCTTTTGGATGGTGATTGGTTGTGTAGTATTGGGATTATTTCTTTTGGATGGTGATTGGTTGTGTCCTATTGGGGTTATTTCTTTTGGATGGTGATTGGTTGTGTCCTGTTGGGATTATTTCTTTTGGATGGTGATTGGTTGTGTCCTATTGGGGTTATTTCTTTTGGATGGTGATTGGTTGTGTCCTGTTGGGATTATTTCTTTTGGATGGTGATTGGTTGTGTCCTATTGGGGTTATTTCTTTTGGATGGTGATTGGTTGTGTCCTATTGTGATTATTTCTTTTGGATGGTGATTGGTTGTGTCCTATTGGGGTTATTTCTTTTGGATGGTGATTGGTTGTGTCCTATTGGGGTTATTTCTTTTGGATGGTGATTGATTGTGTCCTATTGGGATTATTTCTTTTGGATGGTGATTGGTTGTGTCCTATTGAGGGCCTTTATTTTGGATGGTGATTGGCGGTGTTGGGGGTCTTTCTTTTGAATGGCGATTGTTGTCCTATTGGGGTCATTTCTTTTGGATGGTAATTGGTTGTGTCCTATTGGGGTTATTTCTTTTGGATGTTGATTGGTGGGGTCCTATTGGGGTTATTTCTTTTGGATAGTGAATACCCTTGGATTCAAAACCCTAGTAAGAATGTGTCTTTGGATTTTTTTTTCTTGAGCAGCTCTTTCATAGTTTAATAATGAGTTGAGAATGTAAAATATGGGAAAATATGTCCATCAAAACAGGTGTTTGTAGAAAAAAAATCGTATTTTGATCCCTAATCATTAGCAAAACACATGATTTGCTGAACTCCTTTTCCCATTTTTGCAGTCACCAAACGAATTTTTGAAATATGGGCTTTTCTGGCCCAGTGTTTCTCAAGAGGAAAATTTTTATCCCATTCTTCCATTCTATTTTTTTTCTTTTCTTGATAATTCCCCTTACGAGGGTTTTTTTAAATTAATATTCTCCAAGATCCATCAACTGACAAAGTTGTATGATTCTTTTAGATATAGCCTCAAATAAATGCCCATTTTGAAGAAATGTAGCGATAATGAATTGTATTTTTTCACAAATTAGCATTAATTTGACCTCCAAACTTTTGAACAGATTAGCTCAATAGCAGAAAGTATACAACATAGTTTAAATGAATATTTGGTCTATTAATGTTTTCATTCTATGCATTTAATTATTGCTAAATATGAAATACATACACTATATACCGTATAGCAGGTTTTCTTGGTGGGTTAAAAATTTGGCGTTTGCCTGCTCAAAGATAAGCCGTTAATTTTGGCATAATTTATTTTAATGGACACAGAGTTTCAGCTCTTTGCAGATGAACACTAAGAAGAGTACTGACTATTTTAGCGATTACAATTTTAGTTGGCTACCATCAAGACGCTATAATTAGCACCCCACTAAAATAACCCGCTAAACTGTACTACACGAAAAAAGACTGACGACTATAATATTTTTTTCATACTGTAGATCACTCAATTTTCGCAACACCTTATTTTCACGAGATAGTCATTGACTCTTGATTAGCGAGAAAAATTTTTCACGAATTGTTGTTATTGCTCTATATAATCTTAAGAAATGCTATTATACGCCAGAATTAAATTTTCGCGAGCACACTGTGTCGCGTAATTACTCGAAAATAAAGTTCTTGAGAATAAAGAGTGATTCACAGTATTACTACATTCTGTTCAAATAAAAGATAAAACAGTGAACATAAACATGAAATCTCTGATGAGTCTGTAGCTTTACTGGTCTACAAAAGAAAAGGCAGCATTAAATAGAATTATGCACCTTAATGTAGTCTACTCATATGCCAATTTATATTGATGTCAAACCAAAACTGTAGGAGGAGGAGTGTTTTGAAAGTATTTCTAAGAAATTCCTATTTTTAGTAACCATGGTAACACCATTTACTGAAAACAAAAAACCAATGCACTAAATAATGAACCTTCATAAAGTCGACTTGTATGCCATTAAGTTACAGTGAAATCGGAAAATAATTGTGGGTGGAGTAGCGTTTCAAAAGATTTCAAGAGAAATTTCTATTCTTAGTTATCATGGCAATAAGGTTAAAACAAATCAAAAACTGATGCATTAAATTATGTACCTTAGTGTTGTCTACTTGTATGCCAAGTTTTATTGAAATCAAATCAAAACTGTAGGAGGAGAAGCATTTTAAAAGTATTTCACAGAAACTTTTATTTTTAGTAGCCATGGCAACACCACTCTTTCATCGATATAAAAAAAAACCAATTTATTAAATTATATATCTTAGAGTAATCTACTTGCATGTAAAATTATATTGAAATAAGACCCAAACTGTAGGAGTAGCATTTTATTGGAATTTTACAGAAATTACTATTTTTAGTAACTATGGCAACATTGTTCATCAAAAACAAAAAAAAAGCAATGCACTAAATAATGAACCTTTGACAGTACAGTCCACTTCTATGCCAGGTTATATTGAAATCAAACCAAAACTGGGAGTACATGTAATAGCATATTGAAAAATTGTTCACAGACAGACAGACAGCTGGACTGACGGAAGAAAGACACTTTACTATCACATAAACACTTCTGGTCTCTGACCAGTAGAGCTAAAACTACATGTTTGTGAAACACGAATGACCCTATCCCAACCCCAGACAAGGGGTAATCAAAAAATCTCAGTTTAACTTTCAGCTCAGATGAGTTGAAAACTAAATTCTGACTTGATAATTCTATATGGTGAATGTGAGATGCATCCTTGCTCCATCTTAGAGCCACTGATCAATGTTCTCAGTTTTCCACTTCTATGAAGCTTCCTCTTTTGCCCTTTCCATTCTCCACCTCTTGAGAACTTCTTTTCTTTTGATCTCAAATCTTTCCTGTGTTTTGATGCCCATTCCTACAGAATTTCCTCTTTGGGATTTCCTTATTAAGACGGCTATTTCTGTTTTTTCAATTCAATATCTGCAGCTACTTCATACTTTTACCATGAAGAGTAATAAACCTGAAAAGGGGGGCAAAAATAATTAATCAATCATAATTTGAGAAGATCATCATTTTCTTGAAATGACAAGATCAAAAGCATATTCACAAGTCAAAATATTAAAGGGTGCTAGGTGGGTTTTTTGTTTTATGTGAAAAATCTACAATAGAGGAACTCTTCCATTTATATTAAGTAATGCCTACACTGCCAGCAATGTACATATACAGCCTCTGGAGAATCTGACATCTTGATATTTTTATTGACCACCTCAGAATACAGAAACAGCCTTACTATTGGATTGTTTGGCAAAATTCTTGCTCTAATTTTAACACATGATTAGTACTACCTTGTAGAAATAAGCGTATGATAGAATCATATTTATGAAAATCTTTTGTGTCTTTGGATATTAAGGAGGAATGCTACAACAACATTTTATTTCATAGATCTTTAAGACATCCCTATTAAATTATGGTTTCTGGATTGAAAGGCTGATATTAGCTCACTTACTCCTGACATCTGTTTCAGGATTTTGATTGAGTGTTAGGAGGGCTCCACTTACCTGTAAAGCAACGTTGTCCTTTACTTTGTGAGAAGTTATTTCCCTTTGTTATTCATCTACTGATAATTATGTCGGTAATCTAGTTAAATAAAACATAAAATTTTAATTGATGGTTTTACTGGAGACTACAGTTCATTTTCTTGGATCGATCCTTTGAAGCTTCTATTAATAGTCCAACAATTTGACAGATTGTTATATTATTTGTATGTTTCAATTTTTCATCCATGAATTGATACATATATTGTACCGCTTTGTTAACGAAACTGATTAGTTGATTGCTTTGAGTGACATTACCTTTGTAAGATTTTGATTAGCTGGATGTAATAAGTTATAATACCTTAAAACCAACTGATTCTTACCTTGGTAAGTTTGTCTAATGGTCTAATGTGCCCTGTTTCAAGGATAACAACCCCCTTGGCACGTAAAAGATCTTTTTCTGGTTTTCAAAAAAGAACAGGGTCTACCAGAAAAACTCAAAAAACTCTTTCAACCCTGTACATGTCTTTTCATCAGCAAAATATGGCTGAAATATTGCTGACTCAACATTAAACAAAATCATTTTACCTTGGGATCAATTGATTGGATGGACGTTCAGGTCTGTATTCTGGGTAAGCCATAAACAACATTTGAGGGAAGTTTGGTCCAAAAAAAGCACCATCTGTGAAGCAATGGCGTCGGGATCGTATATGATACACATCTTCACATTTTGGACAGTACACTTTTACTGTTTCTTTTTCAATGTGCTCAGAAATTCCTGTCAATAACAAAAGTTAAACAATGTCAGTACTTCATCATCAAAGACTCATGCAGAAAGTTTAAACAGACAACTATACGAGGGACAGTCAATATTTTTTATTGAATTAGAAATTTAGCACATTTAGTACACAAGCTACAAAGTAAAAATTTAGGGTAAAAATGTGACAATGAAATTTAAAAAGGAGCTAGTGAAAGTTTGATTTTAATCAGACCGGGACACTTCATGACCAGCATACAATGTGATCGAGTTGATTGCTAAAATGTGTTTGTGTTTGCACAGAATTGTTACAATTTTTCACAATGTTAATTTACATGGGAAACCAGAAAGGACAAAAAATATTGATGCCCTGAATACATTTTCTGAATTTACCTATTGGAAGCACAAATTGTCTCTCACAGCTCACAAGTGGACAGGTGCCAAACACGCCATCCTGCCATTTGTCTATCTAAAAAGTCAGATTCAAACAAACATGCAATGGTCAGCAAATGTCACAAAGTCCACTTATTTTTAAGAACAATTATTTTCATTCAATGCCATTTGAATTTATTTCAGTTAAAGATTGAATTGTTTAATACTCACCATTTTCCTGATTCCTCTGTCAGTCAGAATGTACCTGGCATGTATTAAGCCATACAACAACTCCGCTGCTTCTTCCACAACATTCTCTGCTTCAGAATCGTTTGAGAGGTCTGAATCATCCATCATTGAATCGCGTACTGAATAGAGTAAAACAAGAATACTCTCAGGAGACAGTAGCTCTTCAGTTTGTAATTATACTAGTCTGCAGGAGACTGTAGCTCTTCAGTTTGTACTTATATTACTGCAGGAGGCCTTAGCTCTTCAGTTTGTTATTATACTAGTCTCAAGGACACTGTAGCTCTTCTGGTTTGCAATTATATAAAGAGTATTTTAAAACAAGAGGTCTCCAGAAGAATGTTGCTCTTCATTTTTTATATATATAATAAATGGACTTTAAAGAAAAAATGAATTGCATTAAGGGGGATGTACAAGCCAATTGGATCTAGTCTGGTGTGAAATAAGAAAGGCCAAGAATGCGCTTAATACTCGTCTAAACTAGCCCAAAGTTACTCAAAGTGTTAATGCACTAGTTACCTAGTGTTAGAGACCAAAATTAGTAAATAATTAAGTTTATTTTGTTTTAATTAGGAGGAAATTAATCATTGTAGAACTGCGCAGCTACAGCATTCACGAGATGAAAAATGCATTGAAAATGGTGTTAGTTTGATTCATTGATAATATGGCTACAACCATTTGTTTTGTTTTTTTCTTGTCATTATCTAGAATTCTTGAAAATTTGATTTTTCATATGTGTGTCTTCCTGAGGCCATGTGTTTTTTTCGTCCGCCATTCCTCTGTCACACAGCGTTCGAATAACATTGATTTAAGAATAAATGCGACCATAAAAACATCAAGACAAGAAATTACTAAGTAATAATCATTAGGTAATATTACTTACTACTTTTATTTGTTGCATCGCTTCGTCTGATTAATGAAAAAACGCGATTTTAACCCCACTCCAGCAAATCGGGAAAAACTGTTCTGTTCACAGCTCGAGTTTCCTAGAAAATATTAATACACTGAGCACGTGGTTGACATGTTCATATATTTGCTGTGGATAGATGCGTTTATTACCATGATTATATTTAATTTTTCATGGAACAAGTCTTGATAATTTGTTGGTAACTTTAAAACTCAAGAAAAAAGCTAAAAAATGCCCTAAACATATGTGTTTACGTCGGGTCTTTTTTCTGTGGCGATAGAAGTTATTTTGAAATGGGGCACTGCAAGGAGGATGCTTAGCATTTAATTTGATAATGTTAAACAATATGCGGTGCATGAAAAACAAATTGGAATTAAATGTCTTACATTCGAAAAGTTGGTACATATGTCTATTTTGTTTAGCAGTTAGATAGAAAAAATAGGCAGTTAAAGGATTTCCTTCAGGCACCTCACATAAATAGCTTGATTGTTTGCAATGACCAACACATCGTATGGAGTAATGTTTGGACATAAAAGCGCATCATGTCTCATTATGTTGACTACGTTGTAAGCTCTCGATCATTGAACATACGAAGCTTGATAAAATATATAGACTTGTTTGGTTTTTTTTTTTAATTTAGAAGCAATCACAATGTTTGCAAACAAAGGTCCATTGCATATGCTATGTCTATCATCGCAAAAAAATGAGAGACTACCCCCCCCCTTCCGAAAATCCTATGTTCTTTTTTCAAAATAGTGCCAAAGATTAAAAAATTTTGCATTACTAAGTATGTGATGGAACATGTACTAGCCTTATAAGACCATTTGTTGTAAAAATATTTGGTTGCCCTCTCTTTACTGCCTAAAAATGGTTCGACTCAATTTTATTTTACATCCAATTACAGGATTTTTTTTTCTTCCGTCAACAAATATGTTTAAATTTTAAGGAATTTTTTTCTCACCATAAATACGGACCCAATAATTTTCCCTGAGTTGGAAGGTCCACCAAACGTCATTTTAAAGATGGTATAAAATATTTAATTGAGTTGATTTTTTTTCTTTACTCTGTAAAATTGTAATTTTGACAAAATGGGCAAATAGAAAAAAAATTATTCATTAAATCTCCTAACCCACTCTGAATGATTTTATTCCTTTTCAAATGTTGCTCCGCTGTAATGAAAATTGTAAATGTTTATTTGACAGAGTATAGTAAAAAGTAAACGATATCTTAGGTATTTGATACTTATATTATTGTTGAAATATTCAAGTATTTTTCAAAGTGTAAATTGGAGATCTTTGATAGCATATTGCTTATAGCATATTGCTTAATTAAAAACAAAGCCCTTTTCAAACTTGCTTTCACCGGGAAACATAACAAGTATCATATTCAACCATCTGCCTTCCTTCACTAAAACGGTCTATCCAATCATTGATTGAATTATTAGGAAGTCATTTGTCTTAATAAAGTATGAACAAATTCTTTAACGTTACTTCAAAGGCAGTTTTAAGATATACCATGATTATTTTAACGACTGTTGAATGAGTTCCACTGAGACAACCATTTTTCGTCACAAGTACCTGCATAATGACTTTATTTTCACATTGTGAGAAAAACTTAATTCGGCATATGCAATTTATAGAACTTGAGTGTGCACCAAATTTGTTTCTAATCTAAATTGTGGTTTTGTAGATATAGAGATAGTTCGAGAACTTTTTTGATCACCCCTCGTACTAGTAGATACTAACACAAGGTTTTTCATATTCGATTTTATGTGTTTAATTTCTTTGTGTTTCATTGGTGATAATTAAACTTTTGATAGATATTATAAGTTATATGTGGCAAACTTACAAACTCTTAATTTTAAACTTTGATGGTGCTCATTTTTCCTTAACTGGAATCAAAAAGTTTATTTCAATACGTACACTAAGCCACACTATAACACATTTCCTCTTTGAAAAGTGTTCATATTATTTGAAATATTTTGCAACTGTAATTCTCTTCTACATTTAAAGATTGTTATGTCCCTCCATATTAAGAAGAGGTCTGGAAAACAAAATTCTGTACTAAAAATAGACCACGTGCTGCTATCAATGAACTACTTTCAGGCTTCTTTACACTCCTTTTGAAGACAACGATACCTTGTTTTGAACTTAAAATTATCATTTAAAAGTGCAAAATTTAGACATTTTCTCAACAAATGGTTGTAGAGAGAACATTAATGCACACTTTGCGTATTTTTTCGGATTTTTTAAGGCTTTGCTGAATTCTGTAGCTGCGCAGTTCTAAGGAGCATATCAAAAGCATTTTTCTGCAAAAGTATAGATTATATATGCACAACATACAGTCAGTTATGCATATTTATTGTATCTTTATCATAAGGGTTTAGAATTTGATCAAAATATAATGTACTTTAGCCATTTGAAGAAATGTTTTTGTTCTCACTGCACTAAATGTGGCCGTACATCCCCCTTAAATGTATCCTTGTTAATATTTATATGATTATTGCATTCTTCTAAAACCTCAATTTTTTAAGGTACATTTTGTATTCAAGGTTCAATCAGATAAGGCCACTTAAGCCTTTGACTCAAGTAACTTTATGAAGTCTACTAGTATAAAAAGTCATTCAATTTGGACTAAAACTTTAGTAGCAGTGTTTTGGAAGTAATGTACAGAAATTTCTATTTGTAGTGACCATGGCCACAGTGATTAGCAATTTTCAAAACAAAGAAGCATTCTGTACCTTTATGTAATCAATCTTTAAACAAAGTTTTACTGGAATTCAATCAACTATAGAAAGATTAACAATTTGAAAATTGTTTGAGGAGGAAAAGACAGACAGACAGACGTCTTCCCCCTGTAATATGCTTCTTGGTCTTTTTTAACATTGGAGCTAAAGAGCAAATATCCACAGGTGCTTTACATGTTTAACTTTTCTTTTCATAAATAAAAAGTTCCCCATACTTCACCATGGGAAAATTTTAATTTATCTATGAAAAGAAATAGTAAAGTATGGGGAAAATTTTATTTATGAAAAGAAAGGTTAAAAAACGTCAAACACCTATGGAAAAATCTTATACATTGAAGGCAAGAAAACAGTTTAGTTCCATCACAGGTAATATCTAAGGGCGAAACGATTACACGTGTAAACGGCGACGTTTTGATTAAATGCTCTAAACGTTTACAAATTGAGTAAACATTACATGAAGGTTAATATCAATGTCTATCAGAAAAAAACCTCTCATCCAAACAAGTTGTTTTATTTCATTTTTACCAAAGAAAACACACTCTGTGTCTGTTACAAACATTTTTTTGTTATAGTTGATACCGGAAACGCAATATTAAACAAAACTATCTAGAAACCAATATGGTCTAACATATTTAATTCCAATTTCCAAGTAGTGAAAACTAGCTACGTATCATTTTATTTTTCCAAGTATATGTTCTATAATAAATAACCCCTGTTGTTGCTTTTTATAGATTAGAAAATATAAAGTATCATGCTTATAACAGTATAATGTTGAACATAGAGCTTTGAAATATTGAACGTAAACCGGAACCCTCAATGCTATCGTATTATATTTTTATATTACTGTCTTGTTTCAGTTTTTGACACTTCGTACTCTTTCGTCATAAAAACCAACATATAAACAGTAACGATAACTCATACTTACATTATAGTGAAAGAATGGTTTATTAAATTAGTGTTTCATGAGTAAGTAGCCATAAAAATTCAACACATAAAATTCTCTCGTTTAGATGGTACCATTTCATTTACTGCTGTTCGTTTCAATGTTTACAAAATTCAGTAAATTTCACCCTTAGTAATATCTACAACAAGTATCCTTAAACTCCTTGGAGTTTGTCATGATGCCAGCTGACGATTCAGCTAATGATAAACATAGGTAATCAAAGATTACGAAGCTCACCTCGACGAATGTTATCAGTTTAATAATGCAAATCTCACATCATATTTTCTTAATATTTAGTATTTATCCCAACAACAATATTCTTGCAAGTTGTGTTTAACCCCTTACATGGCACATACACATTTCTACATGTGTAGCATGAAAAACATGTAGAGTGTAAACAAATATTCATATTACTTTCTTAATACTGCAGATATCAAAGACTTCAAGTTCACTGGGATTGATCTGTTCCCAAAACTTTAACCAGGTCTCTTGTATTGAAAATATAGATCACATCCAGCATCTGAAGCAAGTCTAATAGTGTCCATCCCTAGATGCATTTTCCATGCAAGTTTGGTTAAGGTAGGGCTTATACTTACTTGGGAATGAAAATATAGGTCAGATCCAGCATCCGAAGCAAGTCTGGTAGTGTCCATCCCTAAGACACATCATCAATGCACGTTTGGTTTAGCTAGGGGTTATAGTTACTTGGGAATGAAAATGTAGGTCAGATCCAGCATCCGAAGCAAGTCTGGTAGTGTCTATCCTTAGATGCATCATCCATGCAAGTTTGGTCCCAATAGGGCTTATAGTTCCTGTGGAATTGACTTGCTCCAAAAACTTTAACCTGGTCACTCATCTAGAAAATGTACCTCAGATCCAGCATCCGAAGCAAGTGTGGCAGTGTCCATCAAGGATGCATCATCCATGCAAGTTTGGTCCATGTAGGGCTTATAGTTCCTAGGGAATGGACCTGCTCCAAAAACTTTAACCTGCTCAAAAAACTTTAATCTGGCCACTCATTAGGAAAATGTACGTCAGCTCCAGCATCCAAAGCAAGTGTGGCAGTGTCCATCCCTAGATGCATCATCCTTGCAAGTTTGGTCCAGGTAGGGCTTATAGTTACATGGGAATGGACCTGCTCCCAAAACTTTAACTGGGACGCCGACGCCAATGCCGGGGGTATAGCATAAGCTCATCTCGACTTTGTCGAGGTGAGCTAAAAATGTGAAACCTGGCAATGACCTGCAGATGATGATCAATCAGGGATGTTTTCACAAAATACTCCAAGACTGAGCTGACTCAGAAACTTGATTTTTTTTTTTTACAAACTTTATTATGTTTAGCACTTACTACAATCCAAGTCCAAAATGATATCTAGAGCACATTGGAAGTGCCAAACTCGTTGTCTTAGTCCATGTAGATTAAATTCATCGTTAATGAAGTCCTCATCAACCTGTAACAAGAAACACCTGATGCTAATAACGTTTTTAAAATACAGTAAAAATTCGTTATCTTGAAATTGATGGTGCTGAGAAAAAACTCAAGATATCTGAGGATTCAAGGATAAAATACTTAAAGAATATGTGGTTTGTACTTCCACATCACCTCGACATATCTGTGGTATTCGAAATATCTGAGTTAGAGATACCAAAGTTCAACTGTTTCTGATGTGCAGTATTATGTCGAAGATTGATCGAGGTGCAAGAATTGCATTGAAAGTGTTAATTAACTGTGCCTCAAAAATTAGATTATTATAAGTTCCACAAAATATTCTTTAACCATGCTAACCGAGCACTTTTACTTTGATAAACTGATATAGGCATGTTTAATCTCATTATTTATTACCTCACAAAAGAACTCATTTCCTTTTTGTTTACAGAATTTGGGAATCCAGTACTCTTCACCGGGCCGCAGTTTTCTGGAAACCAAACATAATCTCAGGTAAGTCAATATCGCCACTAAAGCTTATAAAGGTAAGTCAATATCGCCACTAAAGCTTATAAAGGTAAGTCAATATCGCCACTAAAGCTTATAATATGATGACAAGAATAATAATTAAAAGTTCCTCAATACTGATAAATTGTCATATGATATTTAATATTAAATTCAAATACAGTGCTCCTTCATTCAATCCTATTGTTACTGTTCATAAATATATATTTTGGCAATTTGCTATCATATTTTACTTAAATTTTAAATAATCTAGTGAATAATTATTATGAAGGGATCAACCTAGAAGCGAAAAACTCATAACTGAAGTAAAGATTTAAAAAAAAAATATCTCAAAGTTATAATTACTGATAACTGTAACTTGCCGTTTTTTTTTTCAGGTGGGCTGCCAAATGACCACATAGTCGCCTTTTACTATGGGAGTTCAGAGATCTATTAAACAGTAAAATTAAAAAAAGAATTTTAATTTAAAGATTATTCATGTTTATTGAATGTAATTGAAAGTCCACAGCATTAGGCCATATAAAATTAATCTTTATGAAAATAAAACAGTCTGAAAATGTCCCGCCCCAGTTTTTTATTTTGATTTTTAAATATTCCAGTATTTTTATTCAGTAAGAATTTGGTTCAAGGTGATTATCTCCAATTCTCAACAGTGATGCATTAATAGCAAAAACGCCATGTGAAGAATGGAGTAAAATCGGCAATAAAAGAAGTTTAAATGTGTAAGGAAAAGATAATTTGTCAGTATAGAGAAGGCAGAGAAGAAAAAATAGCATAAACACAGATAGATACCATCACTGGCAGGAGTGAGTATGTAGAGAGATTGTAACTAAGTAAAAATAGACGAGTAAAATGACACCTGGTCAAGTTATATATAAGAACTTTACAGCTGTGTGACTTTGCTTTGTTAAATAAACAAAATCTACAACATTTTATATTTTTTAACTTATGAGAAGGCACTTAAATTTTAATTTGGCAGCCAGAATAATTATTAATCAACATTTATATAGATTTTGCAAAATAAAAATTCAGGGTGTCATTCCCATTACCTCATTTTGTTCAGGGTGTGATATAATGTGTGTGTGTGATAACTTGTTAATTAACAATAAATATTTAATTTTTAAAACAAAAATTTTCTTTAAATATTTAAAAGAATATGAAAAGAATTAAATCTATTCATATTTGCATTAAGGTAATGAAAAAAAATGTTTTTTTGGCGTATATATATATGTTGATACTTAGGCCTATATATAAATTAACAATTATAAAAAATAAAAAATATAATCCGCAAATTTTTTAGCAAATTAGGATGAGAATCTAAAGATTAATTTTACCTGGCCTTATCCACATAAAGTGTGATTGGATGAAAATAAAACAGTATGAAAAATAATCTCGAATACAGCTCGTTTCCAGAATTCAAAGTTTCAACCTTTATAAATATTCCAGTATTAAATTACATCATAGACCTTCGCTTAAGGTGATTACATACAATTCTCAACAGTGATGCATAATCTATTCAAAATAATACTTGGTAATGGACTTATGTCCTGCTGAAGGCATACATTATGGGATCCAGGGGGGGAGTTACTTTTGTTTAAATTTTTATTTTAAAAAGCCACAATGCCCCCTTCCTTCATCATTTTCAGTTTTGGGGGATCCTTACGGGTAATTAGACGCACCATATGCAGACTGACGATTGACTTCACATGAACTTTTTGCAAGTTTGTGAAAGAACTTTACGACGCAAACTAACTTTATTTTGTTAATGATAAACATAAATGTACCTAAAATTTTATATTTTTTAACTATTCAGTATTCACTTAAACATCCTTTAATTTGGCGCCAAACAATCTGTCCTCAATCAACAATGGAAAAAATTCATACAAAAAAAAATTCCAGGGTGTCAGTTCACCATTACAAGTCCGAGCATTCCAATCTGATTTACCTCTAATATATCTGTGTGTGTGTGTGCATAAGTCAGTGGTTGATACAATAAAAACAAGTTTAAAAACTTACATCGACTACTTACTGTTACACCTTGCACAGGAAAACATACACCGGTCGCACTAAAAACCTCAAACCGCACAATGACAATATGGAGCGCACTAATTGCCTAAAAAATGTTTTTTTGATATATATATATATTTACCAGTGCCTAGCTTTTACTTCATAAAGTTAAATAAGAAGCTTGGAAATATATATGCAAATTTAACAAACATCTATTGACAGCTGATAATGATTGAGGACGGATGTATTGTACAAGTTTACGCTTTGAATCACAATTATTGATGAACCAGACAAAACAAATACTGAAGTTTTTGTAATACCGAATGACCTTAAAACATTCAGTGCATTAAACAATTGGAAATATTTATGACAACTAGAAATATGTCCATAGGACATGAATGCCCCGCCTTTTTAGGATATACCTGGTATAAGTATAAAGCAACATGAAAATTTGTATGTGTATAAAATTTGATCAGTTTGGTTCAGGTAGGGCTTATAGTCACTAGGGAATAAAAATGTAGGTCAGATCCAGCATCCGAAGCAAGTCTGGTATTGTCCATCCCTTGATGCATCATCCATGCAAGTTTGGTTCAGGCAGGGCTTATAGTTACTAGGGACTGAAAATATAGGTCAGATCCAGCATCTGAAGCAAGTCTGGTAGTGCCCATCCTTAGATGCATCATCCATGCAAGTTTGCTTCAGGTAAGGCTTATAGTTACTTGGGAATGAAAATGTAGGTCAGATCCAGCATCCGAAGCAAGTCTGGTAGTGTCCATCTCTAGATGCATCATCCATGCAAGTTTGGTTCAGGCAGGGCTTATAGTTACTAGGGAATGAAAATGTAGGTCAGATCCAGCATCCTAAGCAAGTCTGGTAGTTTCCATCCCTAGATGCATCATCCATGCAAGTTTGGTTAAGGCAGGGCTTATAGTTACTTGGGAAAGAAAATATAGGTCAGATCCAGCATCCTAAGCAAGTCTGGTAGTGTCCATCCCTACATGCGTCATCCATGCAAGTTTGGTTCAGGCAGTGCTTATAGTTACTTGGGCTATGAAATATGTAGGTCAGATCCAGCATCCGAAGCAAGTCTGGTAGTGTCCATCCTTAGATGCATCATCCATGCAAGTTTGGTCCAAGTAGGGCTAATAGTTCCTTAGGAATGGACCTGCTCCAAAAACTTTAACATGGTCACTCATCTTGAAAATGTAGGTCAGATCCAGCATCTGAAGCAAGTCTGATAGTGTTCATCCCTAGATGCATCATCCGTGCAAGTTTGTATCAACATGTGATGTTTGATAACACCATCTGGTAAGTGTACAACACCAATGGTATATGTTTAAAATTGAGCTAAACACTAATTTAAGAAAAGTGAGGTCAAGGTCAAAGGAAAGGTAAGGTCAAAAAATGTTGATGCAGTTGCATAGCTCTCATCAATATCTATCAGCATATGAAGTTTGATGAAAATATCTTGGATAGTTTCTTTGAAACTTAGCTTTGAACAGAGCTAAACACAAAGTATGATGGAAGGACAGAAGGACGGACATGACAAACACTATATGCCCCGGCCATATTCATGGCGGGGCATAAAAAAAAAGTTCTTCATTTTAATTTTACTTTCTATTCAAAAGTGATCCACTTCCTGATCCAATATTTAATGTCCTCTAATATGGCTGAGATTTTATGTTGGACAATATGCATCCCTTTGTCTTCTAATTTTATCGGGAGAAAAGTCAGATCTAGAAGCCTTTTTTTCTGTAATAAACACTTTAAGTGTTGCAATTGATTACTAATATCCTCCCCCAAATATCAAAGGAATTGACAATTTCTGATGAAATTCAAGTCAAAAGCAAATATTGTACAGTTGATATTCTGTATCTTCACTACGTGAGGATACTTTCATATAATTTGATGGATCATTGTTTTGCTGTTCTTAAGGAAAAAAAATGTTCCTATACTTGTACAAAACTTTGATCGTTCAGATTGGTCCTACCCATAGAAATATAAAACTATAAAAACTCTAGGTTAAGAAATCCACATGAAGTTTCATCTTTTCAAGCCCAAGGGTTTCTTGAGAAGATTCTTGAAAGTCCCATACAATCTTTACTTTTTTTTAAAAATAATTTATCTCCCCTTGGAAGGTAATGTGGCCCTTCATCTGATATAGAAATCTGCCAAATATTTCTGGAGAAGATTTATGTGTTAAAAGACAATGACAACAACGAGGGTGACAAGAAGAATGGCAGAAAATAGACTAATTTTAATCAGAAGAGCTCCAATGAAGCTCTCGTGAACTAAAAAGCATTTTTTTTAAAAAGTTTACTACATAAATAATGACAAAAAATATACAAGATATTCACAGCACTTTTATTCAAACATAATGATACATATAGTATGCTAATGCGAGTACTAATAACGAGAGAAAACCAAAAAACAAAGTCCGGCAATATGAATGTCTCCAGTATGAACTAGAAAACTGACCAGTCAGTATGGGCCCCGCCATGGGGTAGAATTAATAGGGACTGGGTGCAGCTTACGGAATGATTAAAAAATGTGCGAAGAATAAGCAACAGCAACTGTATTCTTAAAATTTCAAGATAATTCCTGAATATTCAAAAACCTGAAAATAATATCCTTGTATTTACATTAGGCAGTAAAGAACAACTTTATGAACATTGAATGTATATTTAAACAATTATGAAGCTTATGTTATATAAAATGCCAGCCTTCAATGAATGCAAATATCATGAAGGCTTGACCTTAACTTCTAAACAAACAGCAGTTGAAAACAAAGGTTTTCATTAAGTGACAGATAAACTTAAGATAAGCCTATTAAATTTTCTGCAGCAGGCTAGATAATTAATCCCAAGGGATTAATTGTACCTCTCTCATCATTTTCTTCTAAAGTTACAATAAGAACTTTTTCAGTATTAATGATAGAATGGGGTTTTTATACAACTATCCTAAAAATTAATAATATTCTTGAATTAACATAAAGTGAAAAAAGTAAATCAAAAAATCTTCTTTAATCTATTTCTTGTTATTAGAATTCAATGAAATTATAACTATTTAACAAAAATAAATTATAAAAATTTATATTTAAATCCACATTTCAGAGTGTTCAAACTTCATTTGCAGACAGAGGTGGTAATTCATCTCAATTTGACAGATAAAGATAATGCTCTGGATTTTCTTCAGGAGGAAAGCTAATTAATCCCAAGGGACTCATAGCAGCATTCAGTTTACAATGGGAACATCTTCAGCAGTTATCTCTCTTTGCCAATGCTTTCGTATATAAAGTTAAGGAATCTACCCCACCACCCTAGCTCCAAACCAGGGGGCATAGAGAACCAAACTTAGCATCAAAATTTGTATTTCTGCCTACTGAACTACCATACCAAATTTGTACTTGATTGGGCAACCATATAAAAAGTTGCCCATTCATTCTTATGCATAGTTAAGGAATCTACCCCACCACCCCAGCTCCAAACCAGAAGACACAGAAAACCAAACTTAGCATCAAAATATGTATTTCTGCCTACTGAACTACCATACCAAATTTGAACTTGATTGGGCAACCATAAAAAAAGTTATTAGAAAAAAACAGAAAATTTGTGGACGGAAGAGTGACAGACAGACAGACGGACAGACGGACGGACAGAGTGATTACTATAGGGCACCCGCAAATTCTTGCCGGGCCCTAATTAACATACATTTACTTTTTATTTTGTGCCATCAAGAAAGATGTATTTTGAAATCAAAATTTAAAAAACAGCACTTATTAATGCATGTAATATAAAACACATTGAAAAAATTTCATTATACTTCCATTTTTACTCTGTACCGAATTCCATGCAAAAACAATACACTACCTCATGTACAGGGTAGCTTAAATTTGGGCCCAGCTTAAAGAAAAAAAATAGTACCGGTATCTATTCATTTACTACTACTTTTATTAAAATTGTACAACTTAATCCTAAATTAGCTAAATTAAAAAATTAGTAATTTAACAATTAAATGGCTGGGTTACAGGAAAACTAAACGGTGATCTTCTCTGATGACTGTGTTAATGTTACATTGTTGTTTTGTTCTGACTGAGTGAGTGTTAATTTGTCCTAACTGTTAGCATTCATCGTTTTCCACTGCTATGGGACATTCTCATTGGCATTTTAAAATTTGAAGCTGCTTGATACTGTAAGTTGTAAGCTAGAGGGTGGATCTTGAAACCGTATAACCTGCAAGAGAAAAACAGTTTGTTTTCCATCATAATTTGGACAAAAATGTTCCTTTTAAAATGTACTATTTTTCACTTAAAAACCACAAATAAAACATTATTAAACCCATGTACTTCCTCATCTGTTCAATTAATAAATATATAGATCTTATTTCTGATATATAAATAATAATATGGTGAACTTTTCACTTCAAAATTTTAAAAAATATTATTTTATAAAGAAATAATGACTATTTATTAATATTTTGTCCATTATTGATGACAGACTGGCAGAAGCCTGAATATTTATATCCACTGAATATTATCTCCCTTATTTCTTAAAAAATCCATTGTTGCGTATCAGTAAACACAACTAAGCCTTACCTTGGTACAAACTGATTGGGGGGACGTTTGGGTCTGTACTCTGGGTGAACCATAAACAACATGTGGGGGAAGCCCGTCCCGAAATAAGCGCCGTCAGTGTGGTGGTGCCGGGAGGATTTGGGGGTGTACACGTCCTGACATTTAGGGCAGTACAACTTCACCATGGCCTCTCCAGGAACGTCCGACAAGCCTGTCAAAGTAAAGCAGTACTCTTAATGACATGTATCCAAATATTCTCAAACGATGGCTTAAAGCCTGTCAGCAAAGTAAAGCAATACTCTGAATGACATGTATCCAATCAATTTAAAACAAAAGCCTGTCTAAAGCAAACGACGTATCCAAACAATCTCAAACGCTTAAACCAAACACCTAACTCTATTTACCTATTGGAAGCATACACTGGTTCTCACAGTACACACGAGGACAGGTACCGAAATCTCCCTGCTGCCATTTCTCTATCTGTAAAAAGACAAAGTATACAACTAGTTCCTTTGCCAGTATTTTTGTTTTATAATTGTCATTATTTAATGCCAATTAAGTTGTGTTTCATGCATTGTGTGAATCATGTCTTTAAGACTTCCCTGTTTGGTACTGTTTGGGACTCACCATCTGAGCTATTCCTCGATTTGTCATAATGTACCTGGCATGGATTAAACCGTACAACATCTCAGCGGCTTGTTCAATCAGATCACTTTGATTAGGATTATCCTCCAGCTCATCATCTGTTTAAAAAAAAAAACAAAATCCATTTAAGTTTCAACAATCTGGTCTTCTCTCTGGTTATACAGGGTCCTTCTTGTTTTGTTACTGGATATCATGGGGAGTTTTGTAAAAACGAACAAACATATTGTAATGGATCCCAATATTCTTTGGATTTTGTTATGATAATGCTGCGGTATTTAGATAACAAGGTAATTTGTGACATCTTTTAATTTATATGATGGTCATTCTGTAGTGCTTCCCCATGTTTTGTGTTGAACTCTTCGTAAAACATCATCCCTGGTGAGCACTCACCCGGTTCTAGGTCCAGAATCATGTCTAAAGCCTGTCTGTAGTGAGGAACCTGTTCATTGAGTCCTGTCAGGTTAAACTTGTCCTGGATGTAGTCTTCATCAACCTACCACAAAATTACAAATGTAGTCTTCATCACCTACCACAAAATTACAAATGTAGTCTTCATCAACCTACCACAAAATTACAAATGGTCCTGTTTAACAGGATAAAATGACAATGTCAAACAAATGCCTGATCAAGTAGCCTTGAACTATCATATGGAAAATAAAGTTGCACTGAAAATTTTTGGGGAAAAAATAAACTTTCAGAAAATACTTCTTTCGTGTAATAGAGCAGTAATATTTATATTGAAGATGATGATTGTGGTGTTTGATTGTATTACCTCACAAAAGAATTCATTTCCTCTGAGTCCACAGAACCAGGAAATCCAGGACACCTCCTCCGAGCTGCTCATGTTTCTAGATAAACAAGGGAATGTTTATTTGATATATAAAATAAAATACACTAGGGTTATTGAACTTATATTTATGAATATTGGCATAAGATTGTACAGGGCTGGATAAATAGCATTGCCTGACACACGGGACAACCATTTTTGGTTGGTGGGCAAGTAAACTGATAACAGGTACCTGCCTGCAGAGAAGTGCTTTTCCAATTAACAATAAAAAAACGTACAGTACTCAGATATCTTTTGTGTTATCACTTTTAAAGTATCATGAATCACAGCAAAGCACCTGTTTTCACTGCTGTTGACCACTGCATCAGCTGTACATACGTACATCGAATAGTTGAAACTACTCTAGAAAATCATCTTCGCTAGCCAACGGTTTCCGATCCAATACCTACTCTACAACCCTTGTTGTAGGGTTGTAGAGTAGGTATCGATCGGAAACCCTTGGCTAGCGAAGATGCTAGAAAACACTCATTAATGTGTTGTTAAAATATGCAGATGTCATAAAACATGGAGTTATCGATGTCGTCAAAAATGTTGTATGGGAATTTAGACATTTATTATCAAAATATTAAATTCATACTGTGAATACACTTCAATACAGATGCTAGTGGTATTAAAATCGTTGTTGATTGCTGTTCCCCTCACACAGCCATGATGTCGATCTTTTAATTGACACGCAGTAGTGTTTTGTTCACAGATTCGTGTTGTTTGTAGGTTTTGTGAGGTTGATCACTGTCCAATATCTTCTTTTTTCATTAAATAAATAAATACAACATTCATTTTTAAAAAAGGTGTATTATACTTATTGCAGAATTTTGAGGAAGAATACTCCTTAAAATTAAACATTTTCCTCTAAAGTTATCTGTGGAAGAATTTAGTGATTTTAGATCTAGGATGGTTTCCATGTAGTGTTTAGTTGTCTCTCTTTGTGACGGGTGGGTTCTCCCCAATTACGTGTTCGCGCCAAGTGCTTTCGCCCCATTTAACTACAGGTAATAAATTTATATGTTCTTTTATAAAGTGATTTACACAACGCAGTATTTAGATAATTAAATAACATTCAATATCTGATATAGAGTGAAATTCTTTATGAATTCAAAATTAATCCATCATGAAACAAATATATATCGATTCATTTTTAGCCGGGCTTATTGCTCAAAGAGCAATTGCGGGCTTATGTGATCCTGTTCAAGGCAGGATGTTGACCCCATAGTCGCCATTTTAAAGTTACGTGCAAAAATATAGTTCTTACTCTCAACCGCTTTTGAGATAATACAAACGCTAAATAAAGCAACAAAAATAAAACGAAGTTTTGTCTATATAAAATAAACATTAGTAGTAATGACTTTGAAAACTTCATAAGTCAAAGAACATAGTTCATTAGCGTAAAGATTTTTGATAATCAGTGTCACCGTAGTTCTCTACACATACGAAGTAAAGCAGGAGAGGGAACCAGACTGGCCTGTTTGTTTACATTCAGCTGCAGTACCAGATTAATTTTGATTCTGACAAAATCGGACCGTACGTGGTATTAGGATTGAAAAACTCACTGTCAGTGTCTTACCGTTTATATTGATAGTTTTAAAATAATTTTTTCATCAGAATATAAACGTGATTCATGTAAGAAATCCATTCTACTGTAAATGAGCCCGGCTCTCTGTACTTCTGAGTACTTTGATTTAAATAGACAAATAAATAGGGCCTGCATGGATAAATAAATTTTATATCTCCCCATAATTCTTTAGCTTACCTAACCAAAAAAAAAAAAACCAGTTTATTCGCAATGGATATAGCTACATGTTGCAATTGTAAAAAAAAAAAAGAAGGTATATCAGATAAAACTTTTGTATAGAGATACATGTAAAAAGCACAAGAGTGGCCTTTCATCTTTAGTTTTTATTAAGCTGCTCATCATTAGTATACTGATCAAACGACCACCCGGCAAGCAGACACTAATTATGGGTAAACCCAATCGGGGCGAATTTACTCAGCGCGAACAAGTAAAAGGGGCGAAACCACTCACAGCGAACAAGGAATCGGGGCGAAACCACCCGCATTCTCTCTCTCTGAGTCACTGAAGAAATAATTTAATATTAATGCTTCAGTTCTGTCTAATTTAAGAAAAAGGTTGGACAATGATCTTTTTTGGTAGGACAAGAAGTTTTAAGATGGTAACCTGTCCGAGGGCAAGTACTGCAAAATTCTATTTGTCTACCCCTGTTGATTTATAATCCTTTATGAGAAAAAATAGCATGAAATTTATATTTATCTTCCTCCAGGCAGATTAAAGGACTGGAAATATAGCCTCTGCATTACGTTTTCAAAAATTAAAATCTTGATTAAGAAGGAAGGATAAATATTCTATCACTTTTCATTGTTTCTCAAACAAGAGTTACAAGCCTTAGCATAATGCCCTTTATATCTCCATTACGTCAGAATCCAATTTCTTTTGAATTTGATTGCACTTTTTAGTCACAAGCTTTTAAGATAAATGATAGATATAAACCTCTTCTCCAATCAAGTTTAGTTTTGATAATAACGATTAACATTTCTGATTATAAACAAGTTAAATATGTCTAAAAAACATAATGTTTTGAAGTCTCAGCGATGATAAAGTCAGAGCTTGGAGTCAGAGAAATTTCGGACTAGTGATCGGCAATCTTTTGGCCAGGAATGAAAATAAGTGTTGACCCATAAACAAACCCGAATAAACAAAACTTATTATACAATTAAGTTTCATATTTTGTTTTGTTGTTAATATAAAGTGGAAACGTTTACTTTTAATCTACAAAAATCGGTAAAATGACAGAATTTCTGTTACATTTTACTCACCAGTCAGCCTTTTTTTCTCTCGCACATGCGCAAGCCTTTTTGTGATTAGCAAGTCGTACACAGACGGACAAAAGGATTCCGATCAAGTTTTTACAAAGTGACTCAGTTATGCTGGAGAATGTCCTGGGGATGACAAGGGAGGGGATCCAGAAATATCATGTAATATAAAAGTTTCATAGATCCTCAAAATATTTTATTAAAATTATTTATTTAATATTTATTTATTCATTCATTTCTGGCCGAGAGCTCTTGAACCATTTACTCGTCAGACGAGTAAAAATATTCTTAGGGCTTGATAATTTTGTTTAAAAAAAATCATTCAATTATTTATTTATTTATTTATTTATTTATTGATTGATTTATTTATCAATCAATCAATTAATTAATTAAACAATCAATCAAATTGAAACAATTCATTTATTTATTTATTCATTCATTTTATATTTATTGTCTTTTCGAGAGCTCTAAACCACTGATCTACCCGAGTAAAAATATTCATGATAATTTTGTTTATGTAAATTACATGCACTTGTTTCGTGTACGGGCGGTACCCCTTACGTACATGTAGGGTGTAGAATAATCTAACTGTGTCTCGGTACAGGCCTTCAGCGGTCCGTAGGACAATATCATTTTAACGATAGAACATTCTCTCTAGGGGTACCCCGTATGTAAATGGTGAAATATCATGCAGTCATCCGGAGTTACCTTTTTTAAAAGGATATATAGAGCGCTGTAATATACATTGAACTGAAAGAATTTACATGGGTACTCATTGCATACCTATTTTTGTATTCACATGAAGCAGAATTTGTCCAAAATCTTATACGTGAAAAGAAGAAAACACTTGATGTAGCCCTCAACTCATCGACATTTGGATATATATATCGACGACGTACTGTCAATTAACAATGTCAATTAACAATGGTTAATTCCCACTTGCAAATAACAATGGATGTTTAGATTTACATTTAAAGACTCAATGAAAAAATATGATTTATTTTGGATTATTGAAATAATAAAAAGATCTTACAAGAAATAGCCCTAAATTTAAGAACATTCAAAATTCCACCTACTCCCATGTTTCACCTTTTTGTACCTGATTTTCAGAAAGTGGGAATAGCTTGCATATAAGCCCGGTGAGCTTTAATTGAGGACTACCACAATTTCTGGCACTTCTGTTTCATATTTGGAAATTTGACTAGAAAAGACGGAATTGGTAATCTGACAATCGAGATTTATAATAAACATGATGAATTTGTTTTCATTTTCAACTTCCCTTACATGTGCTTGTATACAACAATATAAAGGGTGTTAAGAAAGTTCGTTCCACATTTTTCTTCTATTTTCGAAAAGAAATACGATGAGAAGATATTTACAGTTTGTGAGACTTCATGTTTACAGAGTCCATTCTTGTTACTGATTAGCTGCAGATCTGTAGCTCTCCGAAAAAAAAATATTGACAGACGCTGCAGATCTGTAGCTCTCCGAAAAAAAAAAATATTGATAGACGCTGCAGATCTGTAGCTCTCCGAAAAAAAAAATATTGATAGACGCTGCAGATCTGTAGCTCTCCGAAAAAAAAAATATTGATAGACCGGAGGGCTACAGTGCCACCCATTGAAAAAACTGTATACTTATTGCGCACAAAAAAGTGTTCAGTTTCACATCTCAAAAAGATAACGGAAAAGAACTGGTTGTTACATATTTCCATTAATATTTTTTTGATAAACGTGAATATAACAAACAGCAGTCATATTCAAAAGACCAATTAACAATATAACCTGCGAGCAGAGCAAAAACGGACCCCAAAATATCAGAGGTGGAATTTAGGTGCCACAGAGAATTTAACCTATCCCGATCGCTCACATGCACCCAACCTTAGCCCTTTTTTGATCGGGTAAAACGTAGAAATCCACTGACGACTAATTATACAAAAATGAGGCTGTAATAATTTGCATCAAATAAGTTGTATCAGACAATATTCGACCGAACGACAGATTGTATTTGCAAACCAGGTCGTTGTATTGACCATAGAGAGTCCCCATTTCATTGTGAAACACTTTCTGACTTGTCATATTATCTGATGTTGAAGGTGAAGGTTTTTGATATAACCCTCATAGCCGCAACTGTCACGGTTTGTCCTTCATGTAACAGTGCTGACACTAAAAGTCTCATACTCATTATGCAATGGAGGAGGAAACTTAATGATTTTTTAAGGAATCACTGTCTAGTTAGTATAGTATGCCTGCTATGCAAGGGCATCAACGATAGTGGGAAACATGGCCTGGGATAATTTGCATAACGAGCGAAGCCCGTTATGCGCCCGTTATGAATAAATCATCCATGTTTCCCACTATCGTTGATATCCCTTGCATACTATACTAACTAGACAGTAATTCCTTATACTTAGTATTTCCATTTCAAATACAGTGAAATAAAATCGTAGATGTAGAGTATAAAAGGTAGACATAAGTTTAAATTACACGAGGACTCCCATGCCAATTTCAATAGTCCTCGCCCACTGACGTCAAACCCAAAGGCAGACGCACGAGATTTACATGCATATTTGGCCTCCATAGCGTCAAACACAGAGACAGATGCGCACGAGATTTGCATTCATATCAGGCCTCCTTAGCTCCCGACCTATCGACCTGCCTAATTTACATTCCGGTAGAATTATCAAGAAATTAACTCCGCTAACTTTCAAAGAGTTATCACAGAGAAAAAAAATAGAAATGGAAATATTTATCCACTTAGTTAAATGAAATTGTCGAAGAGAAATTGGTTACATTGAAAATGAAATTCGCAATCAACGAATCACAGAACTAAAGTTTTTATAAAAATTTAATGCCTTCAACAAATATAACAATTAACATTTTATGTTTTATAAATCTTTGTATTCAATCAATGAACATCATGGTTTCAATTTGAATAGCTTTCTCGTTAGAATAATTCGACATAATAAAAACATACAGTATATCAAATTAAATATCGCATAGTGAAATATCATTTTCATATCGTCATTAAATTTTTATCTCTGAAGATTTCCATGTCTTAGAATTGCACTGTAACAGAGTCATGATTTATGCCGTTTGTCTTCATTTCTATTCCGTTTCCCATTTTTTCTGTCTTCTCGTCTCCCTCGAATCCTTCGTTTGTGTGCCCCTTTAAGTACCTCCCAGATTTATTTTCATCTAGCGCCGGTCCCCAATTATCATGAGGTCTAGTGGCATTCCTGAAACCCTGAACGTAAAAATGGAAGTCGTTCAAATAATTGCTCAATTGATTCACGTCAAGGAAATTTTAATGCTGATTTTGAAGTTGAAGGAAAGGGTATCTTACAAAATGCCTTACCTTATATCGGATCAGTTGAATGGCTGCGATGCCGAATAGGAACACGAGGGGAAGCGCCACGAGACCCCAGCCACAGTTCTGGGCCCACTGCTCAAACTGATAGTCCTCGTAATGGGAAGGAGAAAATCGAATTGCACTCGCTATCAAGATGGCCTGTAACGAGATTTGAATTCTGTAACATGACGTGATGGAAAATGCTTGATGTTCTACAACTTCTATATAACTTTAGTTTGTGCTTTCGAAAGTTCGAAATGCTGTACCGAGATATACTATGAACAGTGGATCAAAAAATACTCATGTCACACATGATGTACCAAAAAATTCGCACGTCGATCGACGGAAAATGCTTGTCTTGCTTGATGCACCCAAAACATCTGATCCATCAGACACCCGAGATAGAAAGTAAAAAAAAAAAAACATTTGACGCATATTGAGAAACTCACCACAATAAACACCGGAGCTATTACTGTCCAGGTGGCTATCCAGTAAATATTGGGTTTAAAACCCAGCATCATCTCAATGTCTTCTGAAAATCTACGCCAGCCTATTAAAGAGAAAGGTAAAACAAAACCATCTGAGAGCATAGACCAACTGGAAGTAATTAATTAAAAACAAACATTGACTAAATATTTCCTAAAACCTATGCCATATACAGTGGACCTTCAGATATCCGGATGCTTCAGTATCCGGATGACTTTTCATGGGAACAGAATTTTTTAACGCTATTCTGCCTTGTTTAACTGGTAATTCAGATATCCGGACGCTTCACATATCTGGACAAAATGACTAGGAACCAAAGCGTCCGCATAAATGAGGCTCCACTGTATTACTAGAGTACGTACCATAAACCCAGGATATTGCTACTAACTCAGAGAAACAGACAAACAACAGAGAATAGCTTCCGGAGTAAGCATCCATCAATGTCAGGACGTAAATGCCTCCCTGTATTAAAATGTAATTATAAATGTTTACCAAAGAAAATAGAATGATTAAGAAACTGAGGATATGGCCCCAAGTTAGGGTAAAGACCTTAAACTGAGATCTGAACAATTACTTCAACATGTGTATGATTTTGTGCAGTATGCAAACCTGCAATTTTTCCTTTTCTCAGTTTATATTTTTTAGGTCTGACCTCTTTCCAGAAGTATTTTATCTTATTGTTAGTCCAGTTTGACTTACATTTGTTACTAAGGCAAGTCCTGCAATAAACAGCACGAGACAGACGACAAACGTGAGGACACTCTTGTGTCTGCGGAGGGTTTGGGGATACTCGTCTGCTAAGGCGGAAATGATGGCTTCCACCATGGCGAACTGTCAAAAGCAAAATATTTTAAATTAACAAAACTAAACTTTACCAAAGACCTCAATAGGAAAGTGAAAAATCACGTATATATTATTGAAACGAAGACGTGTTGTGTTACCATGCTGGAGAGTCCTAATAAAATCAACATGAAGAAGAACAGGAAGGCCCAGATAGGAGGATATGGCATCCTGGCTATCGCCTCAGGATACGCTATGAAGACCAGGCCGGGTCCTGTAAGATGATCATATTTAGAAATATTAGAGTCCTATCAAAAACAAATTATTTTATGTAACTTGTATTTGAAACTTTCAACTAGAATCCTTTTCATACCATCAGCAGCGACTTCCTGTACTGGTCTGTTGGTGACTACGGACATAAACCCAAGAACCGAGAAAATGGCTAGTCCAGCGAAAACACTGGTCCCGCAGTTGATGATGGCAACCAATATGGAATCTCTGTCAATTGTATAAATAGCAACATATAACCAATACTTAGAAAGGTAACGCAGACTGAAAAAGCATTATCTATCGTATTCAGTTGCAATATTTTATAATATAACTCATATTGATTGCTGAGTGATTACTGGAAATGTTTGCTTCCCAGGAAAGGAAATCGTTATCTTTCCAAACGTGATTTGCTTCATATTCACAATGTACAGGTTATTTACAATCAGTGATGTGAGGTTTTCTCAAAGGCAGACAAGATACTGTATATAGCACTTACCTATAGCAGTTGTTCTTGAAGGGATTATAACTGGACATGGTGATGAGACTGCCAAAAGCCGGTCCAAGGGAGTAGAAGATCTGGGAGGCGGCGTCAGTCCACACCTACAAATACGTAAGATAGGAAAAGGGTATGGTATTATGCATGTTATAATATAATGTTAATGAAAAAGGTTGTGCCAGCATACAAATTCAATGCTGTTGTAAGGATATTTTATGTGCGTCAGTTTCATTAAATATGTAATTGAGTTTCAAGTTTTTTGGAAGGTACATGTATTTTAATGATTTTTAGATGTATAGATTAAAAAAGGGAAACTCAAAGCATCTTATCTTCTTATTGTTAAATTGCACGTTATGGAGTACAAGTATATTTTGATATGTCTACTAAAGTACTAATTTACAACTTTAATACAGACAATAAAAATGTGATATAGTGATGTATATTGGCGGTGTTTATTTTGTTATATTATTTACCCTTGGGTCGGTCAACTTGTCAAACTTTGGAACGAGATAGAATTCCAGGCCCTTCTCGTATCCTTCTAATGTCACTCCTCGAACCAAGAGAATGATTAATACGACATAGGGAAATGTAGCTGTGAAATATATGACCTAAAAGATTAATGGAAAAAGTTGTAAGCTTATGTTTGCTGTTATAATTCAAATGAAGAGAAGTATCATGTACATTAAACTAATAACTCTGAGTAGGCTTTTAGCGCCAGACGAGAACCTATAAGAGAAGAATGAATGTTTAAATCTTGGTAAAATCTGAAGCACACCAAGAAAACTTCTCTGGAAGATAAAGAGGAAGAATCAGTATCTCTTAAAAAAAGAAAAAAATGTGCATTATTGATTATCACCAAAAACAAAAACAACGACTAGAACAAAAAGAGGCGGGGATGATTTTCCTGTTTGTGTCATAAGCTCTATTTCCAAGTACAAATCTGGTTCAAAGCTGTATCCGTAAAAGTAATAATATTTTTTATCTTCTGTCTTTTACGTGCATCTTTTCATACAAAAACGAATGAGAGAAAATGTTTAACGTGCTTCTAGTGATGATGCCGTGCACTGGGATTTAGAGAAAACCTAACAAACCTTTCCAGAGGATTTCACCCCTTTCTTCAACGAGAAGAAAACAATAAGCCAGGCTAACAGGAGAACTGCCACAAGTTTAGGACTTAAATCTCCTATCCCTCCAATACCATCTGTCTGGTCCAAACCCAGGACAAAATTACTAGAAACAGAGACAAAATAATTATTTGATGGTGTCCAGCATATCTTCCCATCTTCGACTAATCTGTTTGGCTCACAAAGTGTCTCTCGCAACTGAAAAAGATGGTTTATTTAAGGTAACATGAGATGTTTTTCTCCCTTTTATAAGGTAATGTCAAGGTAACACTTAACCTACCTGAAGAATTCATCACTAGGTGTTCTGATCATTTCTTTGATGCTGCATGCCGTAAGGTTCATGGAGGTGAAATTATACGTCAGATCCTCTCGTGTCTTCCCTAACCCACGAAGTGCTTTATCGACACAAGTAAGATTCATATTTCCTAAAACAGTAGGTTGATGAAAGCTTTCAATAAAAAAGAAGCAATTTTACTTTAAAGAGTTGTGCAACAACGTTTAAAAGTTAAAACACAGTTTCACTTCTAACATGCCCTTCTCTATATTTCTGTTTTTCAATTCACCCAGTGCTCTTCTAATGCTCTCAATTGTTAACCTTTTCTTATTAGTGATACTTAGTAATTTTTTGTGACAATCAAGTTGAAACTGTAAAAGGTTAAAATAAAATGGAGGAACAAACCTAAAGTGATGTTTATTTTTTCGGTTTCGTTCATGCCCGGAGTGACTTTCAGAGTCTCTGTTCTACAGAAGATTGTGTTCCAGTCGTTACCACACGTGGCCCATGGTACATTGGTGTCCATGTTAACGAGGGATACGATCAAAAAGTACATGGCATACGCGATGACCACGTTATAACTGATGGACACCATAGCAGAGATGATAATGGAAGCAAAACCAATACCTGTTGGACAAAAAAAAAACATAAGCATTTAAAATAATCAGTGTATCATCTTTTAATAATATTGAAGAATATAATGAGAATTGGATTAAAACAAACCTTTAAATAGAGGACACACTCTCCATATTGTAATGGGACCAAGAGAAGCAAATTGACCAAACGCCAGTTCCATGAAAAAAGCAGGAAGGCCAATCAGAGAGAGCGATAGAATATACGGAATAAGGAACGCTCCTAAAACAAAGCAAGACAGTAGGAATACATCTCAGAGACTTCAACTGAACTTTGTAAATCTTTCAATTTTTTAGAAATGTCATTTTGAGAGCTGAAAGACCAAAGAAAGTTAATGTTTATTTATAATGGCCTTTGATGTCTTTCCTGTTGATGTATACATTTATGTAGTTAAGGTAGTCTTACCTCCACCATTCCTGTAACAGAGATAGGGAAACCTCCAGACATTGCCGAGCCCTACAGCGTATCCCACACAGGATAGGAAGAACTCTATCTGGTTAGACCAACCACCGCGGGCCACTTCTCCCTGAGTATAAGAAAACCAAACAAAGTTACACAGTATAAGGAATACTTATACATAGGTCAGAAAGAACCCTATCTGGTTAGACCAACCACCGCGGGCCACTTCTCCCTGAGTATAAGAAAACCAAACAAGCTATACAGTATAACATAGGTCAGAAAGAACCCCGTCTGGTTAAATCAACCACCGCTGGCCACTCCCCCTGGGAAAGAAAACCAAACAGTATAATGAATACTTAAATATAGGTCAGAAAGAACTCTATATTGTTAAAACAACCACCGCGGGCTACTTTGCTTTAAGTAAGAAAACCAAAGAATTAAAGTTATACACTGTAATGTTCATAGGACAGAAAAAAATCTATGTTGTTAGGGCAATCAAAGCGGGCAACTTCTCCCTGAGTAAGGAAACCATATAATAAAATATGGCAAACTCTACATAGGATGTAAAAATTCTTTCTGGTTACACCAACCACAGTGGGTCACTCTGATATCCCTGGGAATGAAAAACAAAAATGTAATCGCCGAGGCCCACGGTATATCTCATACAAAACAGGAAGAACTTGACCAGAGTGACTCTGACCAGAAAGAGTTCTGTCTAACTTATATATAATACCGGTATACTGTTTGGTTTGACATATCATTGACCGATGTGCACTTCTCCCTGTTTAAAAAAAAATGAAATAAATGGTTTACATTGTACCCTCCAAAGGACCGGATGAATTCTACCTGAAAATGGAATTTTAAAATAGCCAACTATGTTTTTATCAAAAGTTCATTCAAACAATAGAATTTTAGATCAAAGCTAATATGGTATTGGAACTTAAACAGAGATGGGATCACGTCCATTACATGATCCATGCCGATCGGACTACCGTCTTTTATTTGATCAGGAAAACGGAAAAAATCTGGAGACAATTCAGTGTAAAATACATACAATTTTTAAGATATACCATTCAACTAAATGGCAGAGTATTTGCAAACAAGATCAAAGTTTCAACCATAGAATATTAACAAAATGAGAAAGGGGATATTCTTATGTTCCCTATTTTTTGTTCCAATATAGCCTGCATCGTTAAAAAATGTAGAAAATGCCCTGGCGTGTCAAATTATTCATCTTTGAGTCATATCTTGTCTGACGTTTTTCATACTAATTGTTAGCCCATTATTTATACATCGAATTGACGATGGATTTTTTCATTTATTTCCAGATCATGACAAGGAGCACACGGCGGGTTTGACCGGTCAGCAAGGGATGCTTACTCCTCCATGGCATCTGATCCCACCTCCTTGTTTCGGAGGTCCGTCTTTGCTCTGCTCCAATTTGGTATTGTTTTATGGCCTTTTGCTCTTGAATACTGTTCGTTACCTCCATATGTTTCATCAATCATTTTTTTTTAGTTAGACTCCGTGTTGTCTTTTATTTCGAGTTATATAAATATACAAATATATAACAACGTAGGAATAAAATAGGAATTGCAACTTAATTGATAAATCAAAGTATAAAAAATGAATTTTAGAAAAATAAATTCCTCTTCATATGATTTCAAGAACAGTTCTGCATAAAACTGTGCACATTTCTTCCAGTGGGAATTCCAAAATAATGTTGGAAGACCTGGTGGATTACCATTATATTCTAAGTTATTTCTTCTTGGGCAAGGGAACCATATAGAATATACTTTATTCTTTAAAATAAAAAAAAATTATTTCCCTCAACTTTTATTTTAATGTTATGAAGCACTATATAATAAAAAAAAATTTCTCGAAATGATTGAAAACGAATAGAAAAATCACCTTTTTTAGAGAAATAGCCAAGTTCTCAAAGTTGATGTTAAAAACACCCATATTCAAAAATACACCAAAGACAAAGTGTACATACTGTACATACCGGATATATGTGTTGTACTGATGGGTGTATTTGATGTATTCATATTCATGACTTTACATATACTTGTTGCATTTTATCCAGACATATGTTTTGAATTGTAACAAATACGAAAAAAGGAATTATACCCAAAGCAAAGAGACACGTGCACATTGTATGAAACAGATGCTGTAAAATAAGTACTATTCAATTATTTCACATAATGATGTTTAAAGTACGAGGGCCGTTCAAAAATTACGCGGACTGTGCTATCATTTACTCTTACAGACGTCATATAGTTATGAAATTTCAAAGAAATATGTATCTTAAAGATTCCAATAAATTTTGGACAAAATTTCCGTATTTTAAAAAAAATTCTACGAAAATTATAGGTATGTTGATATCGCCGATGGAGAGGTACGGAGCTTTTTTTGAAGCAGAAGCATGCGGAATAAAATTTTCTCAAATGTTTCATTAAATTGTTCTATTATTATGTATTTAGATTTCTGACGTGATATTTGAAGTACTAACAGAAATATACTGATTTTTCTCCGATGTGATTCCCGTGAAAACGACTGTGAAAATGACGTCTCCTGAATTGACGGCGCACCACACTTTTGTTAAATTATGTGTAATGCTCGAAATATCGCCTACATATAAAAAATATGCATACCGTAGTAAACTAGGGTATGTGTTCGTCCACCAAATAGCAAAATGAAATTTTAGACCGTTAGACCCCTGCAAAAAGGCTATACGGGAGGACGGGAAGAAGATTATCGACGAAAGAACGTGATTGAGAGTCACCAATATCACACTATATCTCATAAATACCTGCAGTTTTTGGTTTTAAAACAAAAAGAAAAAGGAATATTCTTTACTTGTTTAATAGATTTTAAGCTTGACAAGAAATGGTGTTTGAATGTTGAGTCGATAAGGTAACTCAAACTGTACAGGTACTCTTGGAAAAGGGTGAGAAAATGAAAGCTCAATCACATATTTTTTTTATATTATACTTTCATGTATATTAGTTGAATCTGATTGGTCGAGAAACATTTGTTAAAAAGCACTACTACCCGCTGAATAATGAAGCCACGCTCTACAGCGTAGCAACAGTCAACATTGCTTAACGACGGGTGGTATTCCAAAAAATAGCGACTGCGCAGAATTTATGCGCGCACGGTTCATTGTTATATGTATTTGTATAAAACATTCAGTATAATATAATAAATATAGCATGTAGTTGAGTGTAACATTGAAAATTTTCACCCCTCGAAAACCATTGTCAACCTCGGCTGCGCCTCGGTTGACAATGGTTTTCTTGGGGTGAAAATTTTCAATGTAACACTCAACTACATGCAATATTTATATAATAATGCCTGTGACGTCGAATATTTTGCTGCTCCGTGACTTAATGATATGTCCTGATAAATCACTCAAAATTGATACCTATTTACAACATTTTGATATGAAATTTTGAAGACCATATAAGTAAAGATTCTTTAATATTATGTGTGACATTTTGCCCAATTATATCGTCAAATATTTTTTCTGTGCAACAAGACCGCGTAATTTTTGAACGGCCCTCGTATTATTTTATGCAAACAAAAAGAAAACAAACATAAGCTATAAATCAAGAATCTAAAGACACGTATTGACATCTTTTGTAAAAAAAAAAATAGATCAATTGAATAATACATTGATTGCTGTATTTCAAAACAGTAAGTACTGCAATGGAATCTGATTATAAAAAGACACAAATCAATTTTTCATTCAAAGTTTTTTAACACCTGTGGGAATGAGCGGAAAGATTTTGGTAACTTTCCATGAATGATGAATGGCCACAGACTCAGATAAGGTAAATCGGTGATTAGTTTGGGGTGACATTCCACTGAAGAGAAGAACGACCAGTTAGTTTTACTACAGTGATTACTAAACTCTGGTGCATGTGTGCTTTTTTGTAAACTTACATGTAAATGATGATTGTAAAATGCAGTTCAAGATATGATTTATCTCCTTTTAAGAATTTTTACGGAAACACCAAAAATCATTAATGTGTTTTCTATAATTCAGTTTTAAAAAAAATCAGTATCAATCTTTTTTTTGTATTTTATTAAAATACCTTGACAATTTTGTTGAGCACTGTAATTTATAATCATGTATTTTCTTAAACACGTATAAAAAAGCAAAAACAATCACTAAGATGGATCTTTGGGTCAAATTTTATTAATGACAAACCGGTACATACTTGCAAATTCTAATTATTCAACAACATAATCCTATAATGGATTAAAGTTACTCTATTTGTTTTGGTCGGCAGTGGAAGCCCACTCCTCCATGGCACCTGATCCCACTTCTGATGTTTTGGAGGTCCGTGTTTACCCTGCTCCTATATTGTATTAATTTATGGACATTTGAGCTAGAATACTGTTCGTTACCTCCAATTTCATTGAATTGAAACAAATTCAATTAAAATTCATGCCAGTGTAAAATGTAATATATATATCTTTTAATGATGAGTCAATCAATTGTAGAACACGACCTATGAGGAATGCAGTGCTGGAATCCAATTTACATGTACTTGTAATGAAATATGGAGATAATAAAACAGTGAAACAGCAGTGAAGCTCAAATGTCCATTGAAATAACACAAACCTGGAGAGGAGCAAACAAGGACCTCTAAAACATCAGAGGCGGGATCAGGTGCCATGAAGCCGAGTATCCCCTCTCAAAAAAAGGACAAACGGAAAAATCCGCAGATACAATTCATTAATGTGATATAGTTGTAATTGCAATTAATATAATTGTTAATAATGGTCTAACAATAGGTATAAAAATGTCAAAATTGGCTTTGCATTGTTTTCTTTTAATTATTGAATAAAGACACTGACCCTTGCCATCCTCACTCCACCAAGGACACTAAAAATTCTATTTTCTCAATTAAAACAGGAAAGTCAGTTGTGTTATTGGTCAAAACAAAGAAATGTTTAATATTTAGCCTCTTAAATTCTCAAAATATAAAATGTATATTGTTTTTTGTAATTTTACATGTATTTTCTCACTCACTTTTGATATTTCTGTTTCCTAAATGATTTAAATACTATCCTTAACAAGCAAAAACTTCATTTTCGACATGAAATACTGATTTAGTTTATATTTCCACACGTTGTTATGTTTTAGAACATAAACCCGTTTGAGGTTGTTCTGTATCAGTGTCTGGCAATCTGATGGAGTATCTGTTGCGTAGTCCGTGTTTGACAAACACTCGAAGAACCGAGATTTGACAACCGGAGATAGATAGTGGACGTCGGGTCAAAGCACGATACACATTCATTGGTGTCCAAGAAAACAAAAGACCCCCGCAAAATGATTATTAATTGTGCCAAACTTACAAGAATTATTATGCTTTGAAATCAGTTTCACAGTTACATTCTATTAATAGAAAGCGGAGAATATTGAATAGCGTTTTCTTCTTGACTCGGGCATTACTTGTGCATATTTTAAAATAGAAATTATTTTTTCATAAAAAAGGAACTAGGTAAAAAAAAACTAACAAATCAAGAGATTTTTAAAAATGACCAGTTGGAACATTTTTTTTTTCACAATTGTGAGACATACTCGAAACTTTAGGTAAAGAGCCTTTCAAATCCTAACTTTTAACTCTAAAATTTCAGAAAAATCAAATGATTTGAATAAAATTTTTTTTTAAATGATCTTACCTGAGACATATTGTAGAATGATTGAAATCTGGGGTCTTCCTGCAGTGTGAACCGTTATCTGGGGACGGCCAATAGAGAAATCAGTCCGGGTATACCGACTTGACCCAAACCTGAGGTCACGTGTCAAAGACAGATTCCCATATACCCTGCCAAGTATTCCTCAGGTTATACGTCAAAGATATTGTCTTTAAAACTTTCTATATACGACTACGTACTATTATAGATGGAAAAGAAACTTGCTGTGGTGTGAGAAATATATTGAAGAAAAATTAAAACTTTATTTTCTCATTTAGTCTTTACTTTTCAAATATTTTTGAAAGATTAAAAAAAATATATTTTAAAAATTATATAGTAAACGTAAATAAATTAGAGCACTCAAAAATTAAGCGTGTGTCATCTTTAACTGCATGGTGCAAATTAAAAATAAGTACAATGAATGTTTAAATACATGTATGTTTTAAGATATCAAATATAGAGACAACAGACAGTCTTCAAACTCAAAAGCTCATTAAAAACAGAAAAAGCAGAGCAAACAAGAATCTCTTCAACATCTGAGGTTGTAATCAGGTGCCATGGAGGCGTGAGCATCCCCTGCCGACCGGTCACACCCGCAGGGTCATGAACAGGAAAATTCCTAGACAATTTAGTGTGTAATAATAACCTAACAAATGGTATGAGAAACGTCTGTCAGCATCTGACTTAATGAAAGATTGTAATTGTTGACAGTGTAATTGTATTAACAATGCAACTAGCGAAACGATGACTTTTAACGAAAATGTTCATATTCTTGTTTCATCATCTTGTTTTTTAAAAGTCTACATAGTTTTAAAAACTCTTCGTACATAGAGCATGCACTTGCCATTTTGCAGGTGATAAAGGTTTATTGCTTCATAATCAAGTGAAGTAATACTAGTATGTTCATGTGGAGTTGAAAATGACCGCAAGTGTCTTCTTCCTCTCATGTATATGGTTTTGAATAAATTCTGCTTCATATAAACACATATAGATTTGCGAATAACGGGGCGCAATGGATACCACTGGATATTCCGACAAATTGTTGGAAGGCCTTGTCTCCAAAAACCACATAGGTATCGTCATTCAGAAACTCAAACATCCTTTTTATATCAGCTTCAGAGTAGTTTTGTGTATGATTTGAATGTTTTTAATAATAAAGTATCACAAATGACCAGTGACAAGGTAGGTAAATTTATGAGCTCCATTTTTATTGAAAAAGCCGCTGTCAAAGATGTAAAAACAAACAACTGAACTTTAACTTATCGTGAGGAATAAATGAATATGGAGTTGAAAAGTCTTACATTTTGATTTGGGTATTTTTTTTTTTTTGTGATTTCAAATTGTCCAAAAGTTGCTCAGAATTTGTTAGTATCCACATCTCATTTACACCACTTCTCGAATATATTTTGTACAATACTCCTGATGTTTCTTCTTCACTACTGTTAATATTTCAGTGAGGAGTAAAGAAAGAGGCTTGGTAGCTATATATAGAACGCTTACTGGAGCCTGCTATGCATAACTGATGGTATGATTTTTTTTACCTGGTAGTCAAGACAGACATAAAGCAAGAGGCTGTACTTAACAATATGTTATGGTTCCAGCATAAAAGGCTTGTAACAATGGCGTTTTTTTCTTCACAGTTCTCTTTCAAAGAACGAAACTCTTTAAAATCAGGTACTAGTATCAGCATTAATTACTTTTAACATACCGGTTAGCTATTGTGAGCTCGGTCTAAACTTCATAAACATCCTCACACTTAGAGATGCATTGCTGGGTCCAGCAGATGCTCTAACAAGCCCCTCTCTTTACTGCATGCTAAACTATTAAATGCTATTAAAGAGATGTACTGTGTTAAAGTATATTCTAGACGTGGTGTAAACCGGATGTGGATCCTTGAAATTTTTTTTTTTAGAAAGTTAACAATCCTCAACTTTTTCTTAAGTTTTCTCTGAAGTCTGTAATATCAAATCGTACGACTTTTCTACACTTTATATAGTAATTTCTCACATTAAATTAAAATGTAAGCTTTTTGATAAATATTCGATAGCATAGACAATTGTTTCTTCCACAAAACGGATATCTTTTGTTACCTAGAAGCAAAGTAGAACAATTGTTTTCTTTAAAAAAAAAAGGATGACAACTTCAAAGGATATTTTTCTACGTAGCTGGCTTTGGACAAAACAGACTGATCTCGTATGTTCCTGAAGCATTTAAATATTCACATCATTCGTTAGCAAGATTCCCAGAGAGCAAAAAACTGTTTTGAAAAAATGGAATTTGAAGGGAAATAATACAACAATAGATTACTAGTTTATGGAGATTACGAACAGTATTCAAGATTAAAAGTGCATAAAACAATACAAAATAGGATCAGAGCAAAGACGATTTCCCAAAACATCAGAGGAGGAAACATCCCCTTCCAGCCGGTCACACTTGCCTTGTGCTCCTTGTCATGATCGGGATATTACGGAAAAAACCGTTGTCAATTTAGTATATAAATAATGGACTAACAATTAGTATGAAAAACGTCAGTCAGCATCTGACTCAATGATAAATTGTATTTGCTGACAAGGTCATTATATCGACCATAGAAATTACGAAAGGATGACTTAAAACGAGATTTCTCATAATCTCTTTTTGTCAACATGTTTGTGAATAACTTACCTCGTTTTAGAAATTAGTCTTACGTAGAGCATGCTCCTGCGTATCGAATCATGTGAGAGATATAAAGACCGTATGCAGGTGATGAAGATATATTGCTGCATAAGTATTAAAAAGTTAAAATTATCAAGTTTATCGCAGAGCTTGGTTGTTAGATTAACATCAATGTCTTTTTCAAGTAAAATATCCAAATATAAAACAGATGTGTAAGATTCTGTGGTATCTTTTATCGCAAGCTCACCGGAATATATATCGTATTGACATAAGAATGGAAATGACCGTCGTCGATAAATCCAAATGTTGAGTTGAAGGCCACAGCAAGCGTTTTCTTCTTGTCATGCATAAGATTTTGAACAAATTCTGCTTCATACGAATACGAAAATAGGTTTGCTAATAACGGAACCCATCGGAATTCAAATAGATTGTTGGAAGACCTGGTCTCCAAATCCAAATAGATATTGTCAATCAGAAACTCGACATTTTAAGTATCCACATCTGATTTAGACCACTTCTCAAATATAATATTTCACATTATTCTTGGAGTTTTTCCTTCACTACTGTTAATATCTTAGTGAGGAGTAAAGAAAGAAGCTTGGTTGAAAATTTACTGGAAACCGCTAGGTACATGTATCTTTGCTAGTAAGAATTGTTATTATGAAGTTTCGGAATCCAATATAGATATAGTAATTCAAATTCATTTTGGTTGTTTGGGATATTATGAATATTCAAAACTGTCATGATTGTGAAGAATTTCTTCTTTAGAAAAGGAACTATTAATTGGATTACCACTTATAGATTAACAATTAAATATTTAAAGATTGATATTATAGGTTCTTCTGAACACACATGAGTTGCAGCGTGCAAGAACTTCTATATCAACGTACGTATACATATACATGTTTATAAAAGGTTTTAAAAAATATATGTATACGAAATCAAACATAAAAGGATTTACTTATGACCTTACAGTGGGCTTATCAATAATATAAATATTGGCCATGTGATCACTCTCATAAACGTAAATATTTGTACAGGACAAAGCATTATGAAGATTTTTCCTGCTGTAGATGTTGATGGGACACAACTGAGCCTCATTCCTGTGTTTTCACGCGCTGTGTTACCTGAATTAGCCTCGATCTGGTGATGTTACGCTAGAGGTCGTGCTCTGTAGACAAATGGGTACGACCCTCTCCCCCTAGAGCTTCTAGGGAACCATTCTTCACGACAGAGCGATGACACAGTTATGTCAAATATAAACAATAGATAAATCTGTACTTCACGATAGCGGCGATCCACAAGAACTGAACAAGCCACACAAGATTTCTGTCAACGTCAACTTCAAAACCTAGATACGAAAATCAGCTCGGACGATTTCTGTTGTATTTAAAGAGGAATAGACGTCGATTTACTGCAATAGAATAGTCGAAAAGAGTACTCTAGATAATTTTCAATATAAGTAATAATTAAATAGGTGAAATAAGAATAAATAGGTAAAAATAAGGAACAGCAATCTATCTAAAAATAATATAAAACAATACAAGTACGCGGAAAGGCATAAATACGGACCCCCTGGAAAGTTCAGAGGTTAAGACATATGTATATAAAGGCGGAGTAAGCATTCCCTGTAAAACTTGTGACTTTTCAACTTTATACACAACTATTCCCCACGATAAAGTCCCGTCAATTTGATATCATCGACAGCTGCTTTTTCAATAAAAATGGAACTCGTAAAGTTACTTACCTTGTCATTGGTCATTTCCAAAATTATTTTGTTAAAAAACATTCTGATTGTACACACAAGTACTCTAAAACTGAAATCAAGAAAATGCTCGAGTTTCTGATTGACAATATCTATGTTGTTTTTTTTTTTTTGGAGACAAGGTCTTCAAGCAATCTGGTGGAATACCCATGGATACCAACTGCGCCCCGTTATTAGCAGACCTATTTTTGTATTCATACAAAGTAGGATTGGTGCAAAATCTTACGCGTGAAAAGAAGAAAACACTTGCTGTGGCTTACAACTCGACATTTAGATATATTGACGACGTATTGTCAATTAACAATGGTAATTTCCATTCATATGTCGATACGATATATAACCTTGTGAGCTTGAGATAAAAGATACCAAATAGTCTGACACATCTGTTTTATATTTGGATATTATTAGTTGAAAAAGACGTTTTTGGTAATATAACAACCAAGCTCTATGATAAACGTGATTACTTTAACTTTTCTATTGTCAACTTCCCTTATACATGTACCTTCATCACCTGCATATGGAGTTTATACATTTCAGTTGATTCGATACGGAAGAGCATGTTCTACGTTTGAGCAATTTCTAAGACGACGTAAATTATTGACAAACAAGTTGAT